TAGAGGTTATATAGGGGGTGATGAGGATAGAGTGGTATATATCCTTATTTGTGAAATCATGCAGGAACTCTGTGACAGGTACCAAACTTTCCAAAGTTTTAGTCCAGTGTCATAACAAGAACACTACACAGTACGCTCTTTTGTGGCTACTAGTTGTCATCGTTATACTTTGTGTCACATCAAAAGATATCCTCATATTCAATCCTTACGCCTTCAACTCATTGCTCAGCTGAAACATTCTGTTCTGAGCTCAAAAGGCGACAGTATCAAGGAACAAATACTAAAACCATCCAGGGTTGCTGGATCTCAAGAGAAATCCCCAGAGAAAACTATTCCCTGCTCAGTTCCCTAGGACACTCATTGCTGCACAGTACTTCCTGGATTACTGCAGCCTAATGCTGTCTCAAAAAGAAGACAAACTTGTGTGAAGCCATCATCACCTTCCTTCAAGCTTTTCCTGAAGATCTTAAGTGTTGCCAAGTCCTTCAAATTTTCCACAAGTCAAATGAGTTTGGAGCATGGCTGCAAATGACACCAAAAGCTTCAGATTTCCAGTAAATTAGAAACAACCTGAAAACAAGCCATCTGAGACTGTCTGGATGCCTTTCCTCCCCTCATGCAGAAGACCAGTGATCAGAAACCTGGTGTGTATATTGGGGAGATCCCAACCCTCTCCAGAGTCAGTATCCTAAAATTAACATCATTAAAAAAGCAGAGACAGTGAGCAGGAAAAGACATTCCTGCAAATCCGGTGCTCATTCCCCCTCTCTTTGTTTTTCATACAATGCTGGCCCCAGCATAGTGGAGAAGACTCTGCTGTATATACTTCTTCCTGGCACAATAGAAGGGTTTGAGCATAGACAAGAAAAGCAAGAGGAGCAGAGCTGATTTTGGCCTGAGAGTGGTGAGGGAACTCACTCAGGAGCAAGACTCATTAGGCAGAAGAACAGAAAAAAGGATGAGAAATAAATGCTTTATGGAGAAATCATGAAAGATTGTTTTATTTGCTGGGAAAGGGATTGGAGCCATATAGGGAATGTGCTGTAAGAATGAATGTGACCTTAATATACTTGGGAACACTGGAAGTACCATTTCTTTTTCTCTTTCTTTCACACAAACAGAGACACAATGCTGTGCATTGCAGTAACAGTTCAAAATGAAAAGGGTAGACATTGAAAAGTATGACTCAGGATTTTTGAATTTCTGGGCTTGAAAATGCTGTAGAACTTCAGAAGTCCCCTCATCCAGATGGTGATGATGCTTGAGTCTCCTTGTTATGCTTCATTAAAGTCTTGACTTACATTCATTGCTTATTAAGGATGAACTCTCCCTTATTTTGAAGCCCATAACTAATTAAACTCCCCACTGTACTTCATTGACAGCAAACCCGTGTAAAATTAAGCTGCTGTCTACGACAGTTCTAGTACATCAAGCAGTCATCCACCCCATTTGCCTTCTAGGATTATATTTTTCTGTGCTATCCCTCATAAAATTAGCATTTTTACATTTTAGCCCAAAGTTTATCAATTTACACTTGTATTTATATAAACATGGTGCCTTCCATTTGAGATGCAGGGGTACTTCATTGCCAGGATAATGTTCTGACTGGGAGGATCCAAAAGAGTAATGGGAAAAGGGATTAACCACAGCATTAATCTGGAAAAGAACTGAAATGCTTTAAACTCATCTTGCAAACTCAACCTGTAATAGAATTACATATCGAGTAATACCAGTTGTGGTACAATCATGCCCTGCTGATCAGTATTTATGCAAATTAAGTTAATCCTAATTCTTTATTGTATTGAAAGCTCCCTCAGTATCCACTCTTCATTTATCATAGCCAGCTGGGCAAATGCTGCCTCACTGGATTTCTGCTTGCTTCAACTCATCTTTCTTTTTGACCCTATCCTCTTTACTGTGTGCCTCCCTGTTCCATTTCCACATCTGTATCTTCTTCAGTTTTGCCTCTGGAGGCAGATTTGTACAAACCCAACTTTATGCATTAGTCCTTTATATTCACTTGGATACTTGGCTGTCCTAAGCCTTCCCATTAATCACTGACTAAACACAAACTGATTTGTTTATTTATGAGATAGTTTTTAAAGGCATTACCAAAAAGAAATGTATGAACCTAATCAAGTTTGATAAGCAGGTTCCTTAGGAATGACTAAGAAACTCCACAGGCTTCTCTCCCTCTCCACATTCTCTTTTCTATTATTTTCCCTCTCTGCTTGCTTCTGTTATAGCTTGCTTTGGTATGCATGTTCCTGTTTTAATTTAAGAACTTTTGGAAAATTGTGTTACTCAAGAACTAAGTCTTATGTTCCAGTGATTTTAAGGCAGTAGCAGGGAACATGGAAGCTGCAGGTGACATGTTACCATAAAAAATAAACCCGTTTCAAAGCCTCTCTTACTTACACTGCATTGCTTCTGCTCCAGCACATAGACTCAAGCACCATGGATCTATCAATCTTTTACTGGGAATGTCATCTTGTACAACTTCCCTTAAAAATAAAGGTACCTTAGCTCAAAACTTGAAAAGGAATAAAAAGTTTTGGAGATCACATCTGCACAATACAATAATCTCTTGAAACCTTGCTCAGCATTGAAAATCTTGAAATAGTTTTCATGGAGTTCATTTTGTCCTATCCCAGTACGCATAGTTTCTGAATGCCATGTTGCTGCTGTCTCTCCAACGACAGTGACAGCTTTTCAATCGCTCTTATTGCGCCATGCATTGAACTTGAAGGTACAAGATCTGCTCTATCTGCTTAGTGCTATCTGAAAACATGTATATCAGTTTATCTCTAAAAAAAAAAACACACAAACACCCAAACTAGCTGTTTGGATCTCCGTCCTGAGAGATGAGAATTTTTAAGGGCCTAGATATTGTTCCATTGTAATCACTCATCTTTCTGAGAAACCTTTGAATCTTTGCCCAGAACTGCACAGCATTACAGATAGCTGCCTAGATGTTCAGACTCAGCTCTGCTTCAACTGTAAGTTTCCACATAGTTATCAGAGATAAAAAAAAAAAAAGTCAAGGAAAAAAGAAACCACCTAAACCCAAAAAGGTACTCAATAGCAATTGCAAAAATGATCTGCCCTGATGCTACCTCTCACACAGCCAGGGCTTCTGGGAGACACTACCAAGCACACGGTTCCCTAGTTCATAGCATAACAGTACTGAAAAAGACCTTTTTATTTTGAAATTGCATCCCCATCTTCTGTTAGGCAGAATATTTAATTTACAGAGATGGCAGGTACCAAGCTCACATTGTAAGACCTAATTACATTAGAATTTTGCCCTAATTCAACTGGTGAGTAGCCAATTAGTACCTTAGTAAGCCTCTAATTTAGAAAGAGTAAACTAAACTAAAAGTGAGGTACAATTTGCCATACCTGAAGTGTCAGAGATGAGGTGTTGAGTCCTTTTGCTGGAACTTGTAGGCAGACACATAACAATGACAGGATGCTACGCCAAGCTGAACATTATTGCACATTTTAGGAACAGCACAATGCACTCTAAACACCTGGAGCAGACACACACACTCGCCCTCACCCCCCACAACTAATTGTATCTGTCTGTACCATCCTATGTATAAAGCTGTTGCAAGATGTCTGAAAAAGAATTAGCGTCTACAAATTGACCAGTGCAATAGAGCCTAAATTTTGGTTGATATCTGCATAGATAAAGGAAAATTCTGTAACTTTTTATTAAAAAAATATACATAAATATATTGAGTGCCATTGATCTCACTTAGACTGGAAAGATCCATTTCTTATCTAGGAAGAATCAGGTCTACCAGGCCTACTGTGAGTACAACCCAAATGCTTATGGAAAGAGTTTGATGACAGTGGTAGACCATGGACTATGAGGAAGAGGATGGCTTGACCTTCAAATGCAGAATTGCAGAATGGTTGAGGTTGGAAGGAACATCTGGAGGTCATCTGGTTGAACTCCCCCGGCTCAAGCAGGGTTACCTACCTCAACCAGGACCGTGTCCAGATGGCTTTTGATTACCTCCAAGGATGGAAACTCCACAGCTTCTCTGGGAAACCTGTGCCAGTGCTGTCATCCTCATAGTGAAAAAGTGTTTTCTGGTGTTCAGAAGGAACTTCCTGTGTTTCAGTTTGTGACCATTGCTTCTGGTCCTGCTACAGGGCACCACTGAAAAGAGCCTGTCTCTGTCCTCTTCATGCTGCATGTATTTATACCTGTAGGTATTTATACACATTGATGAGATCCTCCTGGGTCTTCTCTTCTCCAGGCTGAATAGTTTTAGCTCCCAAATGAGCTGGGACATCAGTTGAAAGGTCATCAGCCCACCACTATGAGAAAAATGACATCCTGGATTTTTTTGACTCAGAGACATTATAGAAAAATGTTTTTTTCTTCTAGTCTAGGGATTTTAAAATACTGTAGTCCACTAGACTATCAAAAACTGTGCCATCTGTACTATGGTGCTGTAACATTACATATTTCTGGATGTATCTCTCCCCAAGGGATAAACATCTCTCTTGGACTAGCTGAAAGAGCCAGTATGAAAAAGACTGAGGCCGAAGACAGGACTTGTCCTTGGAGTAGTGGAGCTAGAGAGAGGCCTGTTTTCTTGCTTTAAGGGATTGATCTCCTGGGAAACTGTATAAAGGTCAGAAGCACATTATGCTCTGTGTGATTGTGAAAAAGCCTCTGGACACTGATGTTACATAAATATTTACAACTACCACTACTAACCAAACCTGTTTCCAGCCCCTGCTCCTCCCAAGGAAGAAAACAGGATAATACAGAAGAATTGACTAGAGAATAATAGCAGTGAAAGTCTAACCCAAAATCACTACTGGAAACTCCCCACTTATACAAACAGGAAGAACCATCAAAAAAAAAACCAACCACACAAAAACCCACAACAACCAAGGAGCATCTGTAATTTTCCAATGCAGATTACAGAAGACTGCAAGTCAGCCGTGACAAGAATGATAACAGCACGATGCTTTTGTTTTCTTTATTTTACCCTTGAGGAGATAACCTTTCATATTTTGGTGGGGTAGACGCATTGGTGATGATATTTGTGTGATGTTGCAAAACTCCACTTTCTTCTCATCCCTCTGGGAACAAATTCATCCATGTCATTAAACCGCAGCACAGCTTTATAAAGAGCAGAAAGACTAGAGGCACAGCAGTTTGTGGGTAGAGACAATAATATCTATTGTCTGTATCAAAAGCCAGCTGAGGAACTGTCAATACAAGGATATTTGTAAGTGACAACGTGCTAATTTAGGGTCAGTGAACCCAGGCAGAGATGATATTTGACTCACTAATTTAATTTTTTTTTTTTAGGTGATCCAGGACACAAGCAGGCAACTTGCAGCTCTGGAGTCACACACGGCTTGCATGCAGTTCAGATGTGTCTCCTGTTAGTGCGTTGTATCAGACGACAGCTAGTGGCAGGACGACACGAGTGGGGAGCTGCTGGATAATCCAACAGCACAGCTGCAGAAGGAAGTGAACCAGCAAGGATCTGAGTCACCTTGAGACCCAGCCACATGCTTAGGTTTGTGGCTGAACACTGATATACAGTAGAAGCACTGAGATCTATGAAAAATTAATGGTTTTAACTTTTTTCAGGACTACTCCTAGAGTTCCTCTTCCTTTTAGCTCTCAGAAGTGTAAATGAGCTGGCCTAAGGCATGCGACTCCAGTGGGACCAAGGTGCCCAAATTTCTAAGGCACTTCTGAAAACCTCATCCACAAACTATAAATACATGGGAATATGAATTCAGTGTAATTAATAAAATAGACATTCAAATCAAGAAGAAAAAAACCTCTTCTCAAGATAAGCCTTCACATCAAAGAGCAGAGCTGGCAGAAATCCCCAGAGCCTGTGACAGCTCAAGATTTCAAATTAAAGTTGAAATAGATTTAGCATAGTCCTTCCCATGCTCTCGACAGTGGAAATTCCTACTACCTTCTGGGCATCCAGATCTTCTGATACAGTTATATTTACTAAGTTTTGCACCTGAAAGAAGGTGAAAAGGATATGCATAAAAGGATATCACATTTTATGCTGTGGAATTGTGATTCACTTAGTTTTAAAGAAATACACTTTGGTCTTACCATAGGCCAGCCCTTTATGAACATTAGTAAAGCCTACTTTATGTACCCATCAGTGAAAATAAACTAGACAAAACACAGAAGAAATATAAAACTTTATGCTAAAGGCTGTTAAAGAAATTACCCAATGCTCAAAAAATTGAAATGTGTTTGTTTTCCAAAATCAGTTTCCTAACTATGAACTGAGATTTCCACTAACTCTCTTTCTTATCTCTGCTGTCTATTGAAACACTATTTGAGAAAACATTTATTACTATGGAGTCAGCAAAAGGCTGACTAAATTTCATCCAGCAGATTTCTTTCCTGCGTTTTCTCCTGTAATCAGTTCTACCACATATCAACAAGTAGACTGGCCTACCCTGGAAATACTTTTTCATGATACATGTTCCAGAACTAGTGTTCCTGAATACCATAAACTTTTCACTCCATTTCTGTGAATCCAGCTATGGATATTTCTAATTCCTGAGTCCCATACTCCAACAGACTGTGTTGTCAGTCTTTTCTCCACTGTCCATGTGGAATCTTTGTCCAATGCAGAAACTGAAAGCTCACCCAAATGCTTCACTCTGGTTTAGTACTATGGTCAAGTTTTTAAAATTAGTGCTCTAGGATGCAGTACATCAGGAATAAGAAAATAAGAAGATTAAATATGGGTATATAAATGGCAGCAGGAGTTAGACTCTGTTGGTCCTTTATAAATGGCATAACTTACCAGAAGATTTCTGAGGATTTAATGGAATTAATTTAAAAAAAAAAACCCTAAACAGTTCTGTTTCATGACTGACACAAAGGTCAAATAAGCAGGTCTGGTATTCCACAGACCAAAAGACAGTTGTACTTTTATAAGAGATATTAGGTAGGACAGAAACACCATTTATGACATTAGAAATTCACCAGAATAGCACCTCTTGCTCGCAGTTGAAGGTTCTTCAGTCTGTTTTTGGGTGAAAGTAGCCCTCGCTAACATTGGCCATGGTATAACATTGGAACAACAGGCACTTAAAACTGCCTCTAGTGCTCCTTCTCTAGCTTCCAAGATGTGGCAAAATAAAATTCTATCTTAAAAGAACTTTCACATTTAGCTGATGACATTTGGTCTACATAATACTTTACAAAGGATGATCCGTATATAAGTTCTGGAATAAGGAATAGACTAACTACCTAGTTTCGTTTTAGTATTAGTGGACTTCTGATGTATAAAATGCTTTTTTTAAATAAAAGAATGATCTGTTTCTATAGGCACCTCTACAGGCGCCTCTATAGGCACCTCAGTGGCCTCCATGTAAAAGAGCAAAAGCATGTTACACCTTTGGCAAGCACAAACATATAAGTGTTGGAGCACATTGCAGTGACTGCCAGGTGGTTTTAAATAGTGCATTTCATTAAGTCTTTTAACAATATGCAATGTATTTTCTGCAGTAAGTGGCACTTATTTTTCTAATTGTGGTATTTGCAAAATGCCATAAGTACAATTAGAAGCTGTAAGAACTTTGCATGCAAAGAGAAGGACAACAGCTAGTGTCGCGTACGGATGCCAAAGTTTACCTCATGTATTGAGGTGAGAAGGTAGGTAATATCTCTGTAAATCTAATTTTGGCTAAGAATGTCACTGGTAATTTTTGGTGCTGCTGCAAATGAAACATTTTGTTGCCATTGCTCAATTCAGAATAGAAACATTTCATGCTCAATAAGCAAGTTTTCACCCCAAACGAACATCAGGACGGCTTCGTTGCCACATTTCTAAGTGGTGCGTCTCCAGTGCACGAAAACCTAAGGGATACCAAGGGCACGTTTCTTCACTAGAGTGCTTCTGCAGGAGCTGTGTAGGTGTGAGATTCATCTGGTCCTTTTGTTTCTGTGTCTTTGTCATTGCAATTATCCACACTGTGAAGTCCCGTTGCACTATTTTTGTTGGCATCCATTAAGTCTTCTGCCATCTCTGTGCTCTTCTTGTTGCACTGACAGAAGTCACTGGAGCTTTCTAGCAAGTTGATGCAAAGTTTGATAACCAGTGCTAGCCAGGCCATCCCAAAGAGGATCCACAGAGAGATTACATTCTTGTACCAGCCTGGATAGGTGCGGTCTGGGTTCATCCCTACAAGAGAATCACCCGAAACTTTTCTAGATTGGATCAAGAGTGCCTCAAAGAAGACATTACATGTAAAGCAAAGACAGCAGAAATATAAAACATGAGTATGCCATCTACTTAGCATGAACAGACATTGTAAACAAGTATGTTTCCTGACAAGTCAGCAACAGTCTAGAACTCCCTAGGAATTGTAAAGATTACTCATAAGAAAGAAAACTAAATGTGAAATTATTTACATTTAAACGCATGGTTTAATTTCTCTACTTAACACTCAGCATCACAATATTGTATTAGTATGTGACGGGGGTCCCCTGCAGGCAGTGATGTCCAAAGTGATCATCAGACATCACTCCTGACACGTGATATACCCCAGAATTTACCTGACACAGAACAGTGCCAGAGATCACACCAGTGGGGAAAAAATATGACAGTCACAAAAATAGTGACAGTCACTTGAACCCATGCCCTGGTCCTGCTCATTTTAAAGTTGAGACAAACCACAAACACAGGATTGTAAGGCCAAAATGGTTTGGCGTCTACACACCACAAGTCACTGATGTATTTAGGTATATGTACCTAGCGTAACTATGGCAGCACGCCAGTCACAAAGGTACCATACAGATGAAGGTATGCCTGGAAGTAGGAGGTATACTAGAGAAGAGCTTCAAAGTTAGATATCGGGAACCGAGAGACGGAAAGTTGCTGCAGCACAGAGTTCAACATCATCTATAAAATCAACACAGGAAAACAGTGAGCTAGCTAGCTTTTGTTAAGCTCCATCTGGCTACCCTTACCTAAGCCAACCTGATTCCAGCTCATTCTAATGTGCCTACATAAGCTCTCGTCATTACTTTGACACATTATAGACAAGTCCTAAGATAACCCCCACTTAGTTGTCAAAGCATCAAGCAAGCACTACGAAGAAAAGAAAATAAAGAATCCATAATAAGGTGTTTTAGTCCTTCTGTCTCCCAGGGATTCAAGGGTGCATGTGTTTCTATAATCAATTTGTTTTTAATGAGAAAGTCTTTATCAAAAAGGTGTGTCCTGTGTTTCAGCAAATGCATCGGGCGTGGGTCCAAACCCATTTCCTCTGGCAAAGGGTTTTGGCAACCAGAACAAGGCTGTGCCTGGTGCCTGACAGTCTACACCTAAGTGACTTAAGCTGCCTTTTAGAAAGCAGTTTTCTGGGTTTTGACAGAGGAAATGGTTACTGTTTGTTAGCGGTGGCGTGGAGTAGCATCTGCTTAAAACTAATCACTCCCAATGCACCGAAGCACACCAAGTGTGCCACCAGCAAGTGACTGCTGTGATTGAAAACACAGCACTCCAGTCTGGTGGTGTAGTCATTCAAGGGACAGACCACATGAATGCTGGAAGGTTACTCGTTGACTAGGAAATTATTTCTTAGCAATGCCACATGTGGAAGAACAATCTCAGAAATCATGTCTTCTCCAACCTATCAAATACCTAACACAACATATTTATCATCAGGTCTGTGGATTGCTGGTGGTGTAAAACTGCCAAGTTGGGAGCTTCGTAGGCGACACATTTGGCTTTGATGTTTAGAAGGTGAAAGCAACAAAATGTGAACTACTCACCAATCACATAATCTCCAAACCCTATAGTGCTGAGGGTAATGAAGGAATAGTAGAAGCCTTCTTCGTAAGACCAGCCTTCTTTGTCAGAGATCAGCAAGGGAGGTAGCAGGAGGAACAGTAACAGGCCAGTTACCAGCGCAACGGTCTTAACCAGGAGGGAAGCTTTTTTCTGGTAAAATGAGGAAAAAAAGAAAAGGAAGACACTGTCTCAAAATGGGTGGCAGAAAAAAATCCAGCTCAGTTTCTGGTTGAAGATGATGCTGGACTCCATGCAAACACACAAACATTCAAGACGTTTTACTAGAATAAATGGCGCGTCTCTCCCAGTCAACACAAACTGGTCATCACCTTCCTAAATTCATAAATTTAAAGCCTATTCCATAAATGTTCCCATGTAACTTACACGTGCAATTCTAACTATGATGATAAACAGACCAGATATTCTAGGACTGTGCATGTCTCTAAGGTTCTGGCATGTCTGTTGCTGTAGGGGAAGTCATTCATCACAAAAGTTCCCTCAATTAATAAACAACCTTATCTGACACCTCATAGGGATGTCATAAACTAAATTTATTTGCTTCCAGTTATTCCCAAGTATTATTGCCTTTTTGACCAAATAGGTAGGCACGCTCTCCTTGTGAGTCAGAGGATCCCATTTCTGTCTTTTCTTTCCTGAACTTGAGGGCGAGATGTACCTGTCCACGTTGCTTACCTGCCAGTGAAACACTTCCTCTATGCGATGGGCACAACGCTGGACCCCCAACAGCATCAGCTGCCCAATTTCATTCAGAAGTACAAGGTTCAAGGGGATGCCAAAGAGTGCAAACAAGATGCAGAAGATTCGACCAGCCACAGTGCTGGGGCTCAGGTTCCCATAGCCTAGGCAGAGAGAAACGAGGTGTTAAATTTAAAATATTCTCTGCGTGCCCTCCCTCCCCTGGAGGGGTGAACCTCCATCTTCTACAAAAGTTAGACCAGAAGGTCACTACCCCAAAAGGACCTTTTTTATAAATAACTGTAAGTTACATCCATTGTTTGTCATATCCTATTGTAGGCTGAAAAATAACACTTATTTGCCTGCCAATTTTGTTTAGTTCCTTTTCCATTTACCAGTGAATTTCCTCTCCCCTACCCACTGTCCTGGCTGGGATCTGACGTAAATGCAAAACTTCCGTTTAGTTGAGTTTTTGTAAGCGTTGTTGGCATAGGGTTTACTGGTAAATGATCCTGGTTGTCAGATGATCTCTGAATCATAACAATAGTGTTTTAATTATAACAATCTTTTTCTACCTTTGTCCCACAGGACTAGTGACCTTAACACTGCCTGCTTGCTTATACTCCTCTTTGATCCACAAGTACCAAATACACCTTATGCTTAAATTATCAAAATGTTTGCCTAGAGTCAATAAATAAGGAGAAATTACATTTAACCTGAGTAAAATACTTCAATTTCAGACCTAAAGGGAAAAAAAAAAAAAAGAAGCGTTTGAAATTTTGCCTCTTTCTTCTAATCATACAAATTGGTCTAATAAAAGGTACTGCCCTGCAAGCATAGCCTTGCTTGTACCCTTAGGCCATCATTTCTTCAACGCCTCTGCTGTGCTATATGCCTTCATTCCCCACATTTTCTTTTTAAGATGTCCTGTAAATTTGCAGACTTGCACTTCTGTAAATTCAAGTGTTTTATGCCACAGGAAAGTGAGATTTAACTTTGGGTGTATTTTTTTTTTCCCCACAGGATGCTTTTTCAGACAGGGGAATTACTAGCACATGATGAACATTTCAACAGGGACTTAGCCAGCCAAAGACTACATTTCAAAACCACATCCACTCATCAGAGATTTTTGTGTGTCCATATACAAGATGGACATAACCTGGCAAAGCTTATCTTTCCTCCCAGCGACATCGACTGTTGGCTCAGTACAAACACAGAGGTGCTCCCACCACTGATGCCTTCCTACCACGCTTGTAGGTGGCATAGCCCCAGGGCAAGTGAGCAGCCCCCAAGAGGGAGAGGTCCAAGGGCTGGGCTCCATATGCAAGGTAAGTGAGAGCACAAAAATCTGCAGCTGACTAGATGGAGTCCCCTCCCTTCAGTAACCTCTGTTCCACACCAGCCACTGATCAACAACGTAGAAAGCTGTGCCACTCTGAGCTTGGGATATCTACACATTCTGTGCCAAGTCTTGTGCTGACAAAACATCTTGCCATGGACAACTCCACAAATAGTTGATTATGCACGTGCACTGGCAAACTACTCCCAGGAAAAAGTCTGGCAGCAAACTATTTCATAGTATATAGGCTGTCCTTTCATTTCATTCCCACCCCTGCAAATTCAAAAGTCTTCCTATCTGGAGGACTTTCCATCCAGTAATTCTAGGCTTGAATGGTTTGTGAGCCCCAGGGTTTAATGCATGAGGTAACACATAATGTACTTCCAAAACAATAGACCCAGGAGCCTGTCCCTGGGAGGGGGCAGAGCATCCCCTGGGAAGAACGGGCTGCCCTTCAGTAACTATAGGTTGTTTTGAAATACAGTCAAAGGGGATAAATTAAGATACGCAACAGCCATGATTCCAGTGCCATGTTCCTCACCTATGAGCAGCTCCACAATGTTTACACACCTTTCTCTGCCTCCACACCCCGCCTGATATAATCACCGATTTCTGCCAGCATTCACCATTTCTAGACTTACAGGTGAGATTCATGAGACATGCAGGCAAGTACATCTGGTAGATGATCCCATCTAAGTGAATTTAAAGGGTATATGCCTGGTGTGATCTGTTTCACACTGGCTGTGTCACATTTCATTGAATTGATTCCAGTTTCTCTCTGTTATAGAATTTGCATGTTTTTCGGGCTAGTCTGGATCCAGGAGGTGGGCATTTACTGTAAGGCTGGAGGCTGACCATGAGTCACACACATATAGGGCCAGCCACTCCCTGGGTTTTGTTTTTTTTTTGATTTGTGTTATTTTGTTGTTGTTTGTTTCCTTCTTTCCCTTCTAGATCAAGTTTAAAAAGACTGTGCGATGGTTTGGGCAGTTCTTTTTCCCCATAGCTTTCCAGGTTATCTGGTCTCCAGAGGAAAACATCAGATAAGAGAGGAAGAAGGGTGCATGATCTCAAGTCACTATGTGAAGCACACCAGCCTTCAGCATCTTGAGGACCCCACATAGTGCTGATTGGAGAGTACTTAAGGTTAAGCTGTACTTTACAGTTAATTTAGAGCAGCAAATTCAATGATGTAAGAAGGTCCAATGCGGACAGTAAGACCAGCAGACTAAACACCAGATCTGCTTTGCATGTGGTTTATCTGGCTTCCTTTTCCCCTGGGCTCAGCAACTCAAGACGATTTCCTGAAGACTTAGTGAACAGTTGCTGTAAATATGCCAAAAAGCCATGTCCAATAGCTTTTTATACAAGATACAAAGTTTGATCAAACAGCACAGGATACTAATACAAAATAATAATGCAAAATGGCTAGCAATTTAATTCTGACTGATGACACACCCTTGCCTTCGGACTAGACAAACAGATGCCAATTGAGTTTTATATAAACCTCAATCATACAAAACTCAAGCAGGAATGAGTAAATGGGACTTACCCTCTTCCATAAATGGAATGAGGGCAACCAGTGTCTTATACCATGGTGGGCTATACATCAGAAGATATGAACCAAATTCAAAGACTAAAACTGCACTGATGCATCCTTCATGAGTCTGCTACAGGGATGTCACCTGGGACATGTCTGCACCAATAGACACCAAGGGATGCTCACCAAAAACTGCATAGAGGTCAAAGTGTAAGCATTTTCACTGAAGCAGCTGGATTAAATGTCTGTATAGGTTCTCTCATTTTGAAATATAGTACAGTGTAACTTAATCTTCCTTAGAAGAGGCAAAATATGAGTGGCTTTATTTCTAAATGTTCATATCCACACACGTTAACCCATGCACTTCTGTTGCACATATTAAGTAAAGTCAGTTTTGTTTTTCTGCTTGCCTATTACAGCTGTGTACAGAAGGGATTCACAGGCTCTGCAGAGTGAGGATCTGCATCTCTGAGGAGATGACCGATGTGTGATTAATAGATTAGTAATAAAAGATCTCTTCATTCACATGACAGTATTCTACTTGCAATGCCCCTGGTTCAGCCGAGGTTACTGCAACTTCCTTCTGCCCACAATGGGAGGTTTGTTTGGCTCCTGTTCTCACTGCCCAGACATAAGAGTATTTTAAGCAAAAACTACTTAGAATGAAAAAATGTGTCTATCACAGGTTGAAAATCATCTGCAAATTCACCAAATTTCAGCTGTGGGGAAGAAACAGAATTAGATTTAAAAAAAAAAAAAGCTGCAGAAGAGTCACTTCTCTAACCAGTAACTTTATCAGTTATTTGAGCAAGCACATTTTTGGGGAGGTTTAGTTTAATTCTTTCTTCCTGCCTGAATAGACACAAGCCATCACTTCCCACAGGCATGACCTAATCCCAAACTTACAGAATGTTCTTGTTGACAGTATTTTGCCTTGAACACCCAGACGCTCAGCAAAGCCTGGGAGCCAGATGTCATGCCTAACACAGGTGTCTGATCCACAGCGCCACTGGGCAGTTCAATAGCGGGATGCCAATGCTAGAATTACTTTATTTTGCATTACACATTTACATACTCAGAGAAGGATGCTCCACTTAGCAGTTGGGGTGATCTCCAGTGAGCCACAATTGTGTTCCCCAAGCCACAGGAGGAAATTGCACACTGTTCTCTTACATCCTCAAGGAGTGTTCAAACCACAGAGCCTCTCCCACCACTGGCTCCTCCTCTAACACTTTTCAGAGACTCTAAACTTTTCTTTCTCTTGTGCTCCTTGCATGTAATCTAAATGTTTTAATGTGGGTTAAATGAAAGTTCTTCTTCACGACTAATTCAAATGTTGCATTGAGGAAAAAAAATATTCAAATTTAGTTTTGATGGAAAAGATGTCATCTTGTAATTCAGCAAAGTGGGGAAAAAAACAGCCCCAAACAGGCCTATCGATTACTCACACAACCTTAAAATATGTTTGTCTGGTCTTGAAAGTGTGAACATGGGCCCATCTTCGCTGGAAGGTCTCTCTGATAAAGCCCTTGGTAACCTGGTCTGATCTCATAGCTGGCTGCTTTAAGCAGAAGGTTGCATTAGATTAGAGACCTTCTGACATCCCAGGAAACCCAAGTTATCCTATGATTCTTGTAAGCATTAGGATTTCAAAGGTCATTTGGTATCACCCACATTCAACTGAACATTAGCAAGTCTGGGGTTCCTATTCTCCCTCATACTTTTGAATGTCTTCATGAGCACTAGCTACACAAAACAACATGCTTGGCTTCTCAAGCTTCTTGTGAGATTTCCCATTACACCCACCAAGCTTGCTCTAAGTGCAGGAATACTTGCCAGCTGCACATAGTCACTGAGGTCAAAACACCTCAGATGGGAAGTCAGTTCTTTCCAATTCATCCACCCATGGATGATGACTTTCATAAGGGCTTCCAACTGTGGCAGAGGCAGGAACAGGACTCAGCAGCCCCAAGAAGCCCCAGTACTTGCATTGGCATCTCAGCTTTATGAAAAGAACATGCCAAAATTTTTGTTAAAAGCTAGTGTGGCAGAATCTCAGGATCTGTGTCTTATATGGAAAAGCTCACTGGGACTCTGGCAGGTTGAGCCAGGGCACACGTGGGAAGCACATGTCACTATTCGTTGTAGCTGGTACTGTGATGAAGTAGAGACCAATAACAAACCCTGGTAGGCTGAAAAACATGTGTGAACAGAGTTATTAACAATGTTAACACTATGAAGTTCCAGGCAACAGCAACATTTGGTTGCACACTCCTTCAGTAAAAGGCCAGAAAAGTGCTTGGGATAAGTATACTGCAGTCTTCTTCTATTTGTTATATTTGTACCCAGAAGCAGGGTAGTGCACTTAGTCTCAATAGGGCGAGATGGCATGCAGTCAGAAGAGCAGACCATATTTGCTAGTGCTCAGGAGACATCTCAGAGGATGTTGTTGTGAGTGCAACCCCAGTGACCTCCCACAGACCATTGTGTCATGTCCCACTTGGGCAAGCCTGTTCTGCCAGCTGCCACAGCACAAGAAAGAGATCAACGCATCAAAGGTGTGGGGGTCCTCAGCAGAGAACTCCCCTAAACAAACCTGAGATTCACAGGATTCAAATGTCAATGCAGCCCTAGGCTCTTACTCCATGCTTTAACTACTTCAAGACATCAGGTTGCTTTAACCAGATTTCCCAATATGGCAGGTTCTCAGGAGCTCCACCACATTCTGGGCAGCACTACAGAGGGTGCTTAGAGAAACTCTTGCTGGACCAAAGCTCTATATTGCCAGGACTTCACAGCCTGTTGTTTTTCCCCCCATGGGAACCGTCTGTGACAATGTACTAAATACCACCCCTCACTCAGTAGCTTACTCTTTGCCCCTCAGTCCTTTGGGGGGATTGCTGTTAGGAACTATTTCACTGTGTTAACAAGAGAAGGGAAGTACAGGAGGAAGGTTTTCCCCTTTTTTTTCCACTGTGAGATCACTTACTTGCTTTTACTACTCTATCTTATGTTTAAAAGAGGCCCTTTGAAATTCTTACCAGTGAGTGCTTAAGCTTTGCCAGCAGAAAATGGGATGGCAGCACACACTCAGATAGAGGAGGATGTTCAGGCTAGAGAGGACAATACTCTTCCTTCTGTTCTTGGACTAGCATAGACAACCTCAGTCTCATCACAAATCCTTTCCCTAGCACCTTCTCTGAATTTACACCACCCTGAGGTGCTTTGACTTTAGGAACTTTCATCTTGTGCCCCATTCTGAACTTGCTTTAGCCTCTGCCTTGTTAGTCTAAATTAACTAGGAGGAGAGTAAAGACAGAGAGATTGTGTCAGCAAGGGACAAAAGACATCTGAGGAATAAAACTAGCAGCAAACTAACTTCTGTTTCTTTAATCATGTTTAGTACTATAGCTCTAAGGGAACTCTGAGGATGATTCTTCAAGGCATTGAACAGAGAGTGGTCCTATGGAAGGAACTGCTGCAGAAAATGAGGTAACACACAAGATCTGGGATGATGTGACATGTAAAAGACAGCAATGAAAAAACCACAGAGGCATAACAGGGAGAGGAATCAGCAGAAGGCCAGGGTTGCTCATCCCACATGATCAAAAGTTATAAATGCAGTTTCATTCAAATCACAAAATTGACCAAAAGCTTCATATGCTTTGGGGCACTTTAAACAACAGATTTTGGTTCATACCCCAATTCCAAACATTTAAAGAACAGATGTGTATCAAGTGTGTCCAGCCTGCAAGTTAGACCTTAGCTTTGCTTTTTAAATAAAATTTGCAAACTGCTTTTAATCACTACTGGAAACAGATGAGGCTGTCATTTAAATGGAAGAAGGGTACAGCACAGAAGATACTGCAACAGGAGACATGGTGATTCAAAATGTGTTGGTGAGGAAAGAAGCAAGTGTCCCTCAGTTGCTGTTAATCAGTAAAGAAGTAACCCCTTTCCCAATGAGACAGTGCTCTGGTGAGGATTTGAGAAACAGCCCAAGCCTTCTGGATGGGGGTTAAAGCAGAAAACAGAAGCTGACGGAGTGGAAAGAGCATCTCATAAAGGAAAGTAATAAAAGTAAATGTGATAATGGCTTTAGCAGAACTGTTTGAGAAGATTAAGGAAGAAAAGCTGATGCAAAAGCCACAAAGACATTACATCTCTTAAGCTGCCAGCAAGGCATGAATAGCACTAGTTGCAGAGAAAGAATACGGAAGACAAACAGGACAAAGAAAGACTTGCAGCAGTCTGAGCACATGGAATAGAGTTCACCCAGATTCTTCAAAGTCTTTATGTGGTACCCCTAAATTCCTGAGAATCTTTTTTCCCCATTACCACTTTAACTCTATTCTTTCTGAACTCATTTGCCAGGATGCCTTGGCTTAACTCCTATACATTAATCTTGTGAGGCTGGACCTGTTTTCAATGGTTCCACACTCACAGCCTGGGTTAAACTCTTCCTTGCCATCTAAGGCACACAAATCTCAACAAACCCTTATCAAAAAACCTTGACAACTGTGTCATTTATCCTACAGCCATGCCTTGGCACATGAAGCTTCCTACTGCGAATCAATCCTCTGAACTTACATTAAGTTCTTTGGAAAGGACCTTGTCTCTTTACTTGACATCATCAATTATCCTTCTCAGTCATGCAGTGATGTCTGGGTCAATGAGGCCGCACCACCCACTATGTCAAGAATTTGCATGAAGTAAGAGGATGGGAAACAAACTCAAGGTAAGACTATCTGTATTTTGCTCTTCTACTACATACTATTATCAGTGTTAAGATACTGACCTGCACACAATTAACAATTTAACTTAAAAAACCCAACAAAGTCAAGCACCCAGTTGTCTCAAGCTGTCTGCGAGAAGAAATTTATACAGCATTCTCAGCTTCTTAATTGAGAAATCATGAATAAGCCCCTACAGTCACAGCATCAGCTTTAAAACAATGAGATATAGACAGCTGTAATATTTGGCTCTTTATTTGCTCCCTGCTATCAAGTTATTCCACGCACACAGAACCATCAGGGCAAGGAGTTTACTTAAAGAAAAAAGGAAAAAGAGTAGCTTAGTAACAGCCAGAAATGTTTAGTCTAGACCTCTGCCAGCATCACAAAACCCCTTATATTTTAACATGACAAATTTGATTCTTCCTGAATGTGGTTAACTTAAATTGGTTGTGGTAAAACAGTCACTCTGACAGTTTAGAAACTAATCAGGATTAACTACAGAGGCAGAAAAAGCAGCTCTCAGCATGTGTTGCTTTGTACCAGAAGCTGGAAGGAACTGCCCCAGCTTTATGCTGGAAACCCACAGCCCGTGTAGCCCTGTCTAATGAGTCTCCACTGCCATCATCTGGTACAACCCGTACCTGGTAGTACAACACACCAAACATAGCTCCCAACCAGGACAAAACATGTGCAAAAGAGCAGGGCAGAAAGATGTAGTGAGTCACAGGAAGGTTTGGAGACTTCCACCCCACAAAAACCTCTCCTTTCACAGAGGTCTTGTTTTGGGGCTTAACATTCTGAAATCAACACATCTTCAACAACAATCAGAAATCAAACAAAGACCCCACCTGGATGCACAAAGAAAATTCTCAAAGGTATTTGAAATTGAAGAGAATTGACAGATTCAACACAGATCAGGAAACCTGAATGGGTTTTGATATTCAACAACTATCTCCACATATTCTCACCCCATGGTTTTTATAATACTGGGTCACACAGTAAGAAAAAGATGCCAGCGCAAGTTATTAATGGTTTTGTAGACATGCACTGATAATTAATAGGATCTGCCTTAAGTACCACTGTACCTAAATACATTTCATTGTTTCCATTCTCTTCCCCTCATCTCCCCAGGCTCATTTTGATCATTCTTTTATGGCTTTGCATTACTCTGATGCTGAAACTTGACTCATCTGAACTGTTTCATGTATCCAGGTATTTGACTTTCACCTAAGCAAGCAGGACCTCAGGCAATACAGGCAGTAATAAGAAAGAATAATTACAAAAACAGCCTCTAAGGAGTCAACAGCCAATATTAAGAGTTTTCCAAAACTCTTCCCTCTCCTTGTGACAGGGAAAGCTTATTTCAATGCACAATTCAACTCAGACCTCTCAGAGAGCACTAGACTTTGAAAAGTACAGGCAGTGCAGCACCATGAAGTGGTGCTGATCACTTCAGCATCTGATCATATAGGTCCTCATTCCCACTCCTCTCCCACCTATGAAGTGGTCCTGAGAGCAGGGAACTCTTACCAATGGTTGTTATTGCAGAGATGGAGAAGAAGAAAGACCCACTGAAGTCCCACCTGCCTAGGCTTGTGGTGTTTCCCTGGAGGGTTATGCCACTCTTGTAGGCTTCGATGATACCCTGCAAAGAGACAATAATGTGAGATCCCACAAACCCCCTTGTGGCAAGTTCATGTGGCTAGCATTTTCAGTACTAGCTGGTAAAGTCACAAACTACTACTTCCAACTGTTTCCCTTTTAACAGAGGATATCCTGTGCCTTAGGGACCAAAAAGTTGAAAAGTCAGAAAAGCAAAAAGCCAGCAACTTTTTTCTAAGGAAAGAGCATCCACAGAATAAAAGAACGTTGCACATGGTAGATCAAACAGGTAGATGTGGAAGAGATTGGAGGGCAAGACCTACCTACAGAAAGCCTAGCAAGATAGTTATTGAGACTGCCTTATGACACATTCATTACAAAAAGAAAGTGTTTCCAGATAGGATATTCTGATGGTAGAATTCCCAAAGCAGAAAAAAAATGAACATTACATAGATCCCTTGCCTGTACTGGGGAGGAATATATATGGTGTAATGTTGGAGATGGAGACAACACTATGGCCAGTCTACTAGTGCTGGGCAGTATGTCCCCACATCAGGGCTATAAATATGAATAAACGGACTAGATTAGCACGATGCCTGATTCTGTTCAATCCACCTGGGAAAGACTCAGAAGTCACTGTGCTGAATTGTGCAAGGTTATGTCAAAATAAGTTACCAGATGTCTTAACAGTGCCCACATCTAACCATACCTTCTCATGGCAACTTTAGTTCATGATATTGAACTGACTTGTGTCTAAAACAACACTAATCACAGCACATACAGTAAACATTTCACACCCACTGACCAAGAATTCTTGAGAGTTGATTATCCTTCAACACAAAGCCTGGCCTAGAATAAACAAAATTGCCTCTTCTTCCAGGGCTGGTATCTGCATTAGGGTTTGTCCCGTTGTATAGGATGCAGGCTGTGACCTTTTTCTGTTCTCCTTGATCTCTGAGAACACTTGACCTCAGGTTTAAGTAGTCTGCAGAACTTCCTATACAATGCCCTAGTCAGGAATCATAGTCCCCATGAACATAAAATAACTCCAAAACTAAACCATATGGCAAGGGAGACACTGGAAATTTATGAAGTTGACCTGTATGTTTTTCTCCCCTCCAGAAACTAGTGGTTACATTTGAAAAATAAAAATCTTGTTATTCTCTCAACCTTTCCTTCTGTAGCCTGTGACTTCCACAGTTCTAAGTAGTTGGCCTTGAACACATACCTGCTGCAACAGCAACAGTCCAGCTCGCAGATATATTTATTATCAGCTTGATCAGAGATTCAAAAAACCTACACATGCAGCATGTTTGTTGTCTGGTCTCCTGTCTGATGCAAGCTCAGCAGTTGACAACATTACACACAACAACAAGCTTTTACAGCCAGAAACACTAAGGACCAGAGAAAACTGTAAAACTGTGGCTGAACTGGCCCAAATAAAAGGAAATTTCTTCATGCAGAAAGCAGAACTAAGAAGCCTGCACAAGACATCACGTGAGAAGCAAGCAGCAGTAACCAAGTCATTAAGCATCTAATTTCACATCAATGCAACACTTCCGTTCTGCAGAGTTGAGAACCAAGAGACTGAGCAGTTGTGAGCACCCATGCCAGCTTTGCAGTGATTTATAACAGTGCAGCATCTCAGAGTCCTTGTCTTAACTTTCTCCGAGGTGATGCTACTGCCAGGAAATACAGCTTTTGTCTTAAGAGTTTGTAGATAGGCTGAAGTATTTCCACTAAAGGGCATGATGATCCTGCACTCACCTCAATGGGAAGGAAGGTGCTGTGTAGCTGTTAGTCACTGGCAAAGAGCAAAGACTGAGCTTGCAGCTGTTTTCTGGGATTGAAGCACTTTTAAATTTGCAGTAGGTCTTCAAAAGCCTTCAGCAATAAGCCTCTGGATAAGCATTTCCTTGTTAAATCTTGTTAGCAAACATCCAGATAACATCATTAACCATTAAGCCCACTGTACCTCTCACAGCCTGATAAGGGGACCACTGAGTGCTCATGCAAATCAAAGTCACTTGAATAAACTGATACTCCCAGCAGACATTTCAAGTTCATTACTGTTAGGAAGAAAAAGCTACTGATGCTATCCTTAAAGGAGAGGCTTTGTAGAGGGTAGAGATAAAGATACGGGCTTTTGCTTTGTGGTTTAAGTAAAAAAAATGTTTTATTATATCTAGAATCAACCTCTAACAGCAAAAATGATAAAAATTAAGACTGATACTTCTGAGAACAGTAGAACCAATGGAGCTTGCCTTTGTACAGACGCACACACAGAGGCAGATCCATGACAAATCCACAGACAGCTATTAACACACAGAAAATACTTCTGGCACAGGAAGTCATTGGATTGCAAACTCCTGGAGGCTGAGAGAGCACTCAGGAAGGTATCAGTGTGTAGTTGCCCTAACAATATGTTCCTCTAGACTTCAGTTTTTGGCTAGTGCTCTTTTGCACAGAAAAATTTTAAGTGGCTTATTTTTCTTAAAACACAGGAAAACCCCAGCTAATAAACACTCTAATAGAACAGCTGAATTCTCCCTACTTTTCCCATTGAAGGGGCTCCAATGTGTCTCTGCTTCTGATTTTCGAAAAAAAAAAACCTGAAGTACACTTTGGCCTGTTGGTTCAAGATTTACTGAAGAGGAACAGAATCACACATAGTGGGTCACATCGGCTCAATTTCCTTAGCCTGCCTTTCTGAGAACCAGAAACACTTCTTTGTTTTGCTTCAAATTGATCTTGAGATCAAGTTCTAGGTATTTTCCCTTTTCTCTTAATTAGGCTAGCAATTTATATGATGTCTGCCCCAAAACCTGATGCGTTAAGAAGTAGTATCTCAAATCCAGTGTTTGAAAGCAGGTATCTACCTGATCTAAGACTCCAGTCAATACCACCAACTGCTCAAACACAACAAATCTTGAAATTGTGGTGCTTCAGCTTGATATTTTGGGAACTTGAAAGGTCATGTGCACGACTCAAAGAACAGGAAGGAAACAGGTGGGTGGTTAAAATGATCAGTAAGAGGCAGAACTCAGTTCCACTTTGGTTTCTACTGACAGACAAGCTACACAAGATAAAAGTAAAGTAATTTCACTTCACTGCACTTATTCCCGCCCCCCAAATGCTGATAAATTACAGCTCACAGCAACGACTGCATTTCTAGCTGACAATGCTTATGTCATTTGAAACTACAGATAAAAGTTTTTGTGGAAACTGCTATAAGATTTATAAATCAGAATGTTTCAGATTCTTACTCCTTCATGAGTCAATGAAACTTTATTTGCTGGCTGCCACATTTTCTCATCAGGTAGGCTGTTCAATGTCTTGATAGCACCATGTAAAGCCTACTTTCATGGTCAAATATTGTCATAGCTGGTAATTAAAAGAAACCAAACCAGCATGACTTCCATTCAAAGTAGTCCATTTAAATACTGATGTCTGTCCTATTACCTTTGGTATAAAACATGCCTCAGAATACCCAAATTGGGCCTTCAGCTCTGTTTTGGTCAACTGTAACTCTGAAGTTTCACTTAGGAACATCATAAACTAATGCTTGCAAAATGCACACTTTATGTGAGATCATGATATCCCAGTGCAATCAAAGCCTAGTTTTGTGCATCCTTCTGCCGGGAATTACCTCCTTTAGTTCAAGCTCACTGGTAACTCCACGAGGAAACTGGATTTTTGCTGATTCCCTTATCTAACATATCTCTGGCTTAAAGTTATTTTATGACAGCAACACCTGTTCTTTCCTTCTCATCCACCACCAATTAGATTAATTATTTCTCATTCTTCCTGTAGAAGCATCTAAACACAACATTGTCCCCGCTTCCTTATTGAATCAATTTTTTAAAAGAAATTTAAATAAAATAATCATTGTTTCAGCCTGACTGCCTTTTAGCTCTTCACAACTCTGGGGCTGTATTGCCACAAGTGATTGATAATGAACGCCTCATCTATCTTGGAAAAGTCTCACAAATCCATACAACTTTGAGCCAACAGACTCAATGTGGCTACAGTCATACTAGCAAAAATTAAACCACCGGATTGAATTACACTCTCAAAAAAGCTCTTGTGTTCATATTGTCTAGTTTAAAAAAAAAGAACAGAACAAAAAACACACACAAAAGGTGAGGTTGCTGATTCTACCAGGACACCCACTTAAGTATCCAGAAGCTTAATGCAGACTCAGCCTACAGAGTTCAGTTCCCTCTTGACAATATGAGAGTTAGGTCTTTTTCTTCCCTGCAAAAAGCAGGTTTATTCTTTTCTATTTGCTGTGGGGTCACTCTATGCTTCAGTCATACTCCTAAGTCTCTCATTTACCATGAGTGCTGTGGTATCAGTTCTAGGCAACTCCCAGCTCTCAGCTCACACACTTTTCTTCTAAAACCCTCTTATCACCTGTGAGCCCCTCCACCTTCAACTTATGGCTGCAGCAGTTTCTGATCACCAAGTCCTTAGCACCAGCTACAAATTTCATCTTTGCCCTCTGCACTGAGTCACAGCTGCATGTGACAAGGGTACAGCTTTCAAAAAAGGCATTCAAATCAGCAATAAGGACTGAATGCATGTGTACATGTGAACTGAGGCACCGCTTTCCTTGCAATCTCCATCTTCAGAGAACTATGTTGCTCTTTTATAATCTTTACAGGAAAAAACCACCTTTATATGACTGACTAATCAGACCAATTCTAATCTATCTGCCTCCCATAAAAACTGCGAGATATAAATTGAAAAGGGGCAAACTAAAGCCCTGGAAGATTATGACCATGCCAAGGATCTCTGCAAGAATGACTCTCAAGCTCAAAATCTCTTATTTCAGGAGGCAGGGGGCATGGGGAACAAACCACGTTTTTCTGGAGCAGAGTATCATGGAAGGAGTCATACAAATGACCCTTTTATAAAGCACAGCTCCAGCCACTGTCCTTGCCCTGTGCTTCTGAACTATGGCATTTTGGCCAGAGTTCACAGGAATCTTGAGATAACTAAGAAATACTGCTTTTTCCCGCAAAGGTGTATTTGAAAGCA